CTCAAAGAAAGAGCTTCCTTTGCGAGTCGGAAGGATTCAGCTGGTACATTCTTCAGTATCATCCAAGTACGACCGTCGCTCAATCTCGGCATTGTGGAAATTGCTTTTAGAACTGCTTGAGCTTGACACCGAGATTAGTAATTGCTTTATTCGACTGACGTTTCGGCAAAATCGCCTTCTTCAGAGTCTGAAATCGTCGAATGCATGAGTAATCCATCCCATCAAAAACCGCATCAAGACTCAGAAAAGACGTCCAATGCGTCAGTAAACCGAGAGCAAAGAAAGTAAATACAGAATTAGACCAGTGCTCACCTAAAACAGCTGATGACTGCTTGGCAGCAGACCGTATACCAGTTACTGAGCTCTAACTTCTATATATACCCAGTGGCTTGGCCTCAAATTGACCTCAGAACCCGCAAAGGCTCTGATAAGCGGCCATCTCATTAGTGATGGCTATGCACTCATCCTTCCTATTCAAATTTGGAATTTTGGCGGCAATCCAAAACGCCTCTAACGTCTTGCGCGCCAGGATTTCGGACTCGCGTGCTAAGATCGTGACCTCTACACTTATGTCCGCGTCATTATGGAATTGCCTGCGGTGCATGCCCAGTGGGGTTGCCGGGTTCGATTTTTTAAGACCGTCTAGATGTTCCTTGATGCGCGTACAAAGAGGGCGCCCCGTCTCGCCGATATACGTGCCTCTACACTCCTGACAAGTGATCAGATACACTACTCCCGACACCATGCAGTCGCCCTCTTTGCCGAATGGACATATTACACACCCTGGGGTCATGCACAACCTATCGTAAGCACGATTGCGAATGAGCTGACATTTAAGATTTGGGGGTGGTATGTCTATTACTCTTATCCAATCTTGTAGGTCCACTTGATGTATCAATCTTCTTACTGCCTTGCTGAGTTCCTCCGAGATGTACGGCAAGCAAAACGGGATTTTGTTATCGGTTTCTGGAGGCTCGAAGTTAATCAGGCGACGTGCAACCGAGAAATGTTTCCTACGCTTGTAACCATTAGACTCAGCAATGTGGTCAGCCAGATTCAGCGAGTAATCCCTTTGCTGCCTGTCCGACGAAACATTCGTAGCTGTCCTGTACATATTGGCCACGATGGACTTTTTGACTTGCGCAGGATGAGCTGAAGTGTAGTGCACTAAAACATTCTTGCTACTGGGTTTCCGGTACCATCTCGTTTTAAAGGTGCCACCCGATAGCTGCAACTGCACGTTCAAGAACGGTAGCCAATTGTCGGTAGGCTTCTCGCGTGTCATCTTGATGTGAGGAGACTGCTGATTGAGAATCCTGAAACAGGCGTCCAGCTCAGCTTGGGTCGGGCATATGACGCAGCAGTCGTCTACATAACGGCAGTACAGCAATGGTTTTCGCGCGAGAACGGGAGCCTCTACCTTAGACATAAAGACTATGGCTAATGTAGGCGCTAAACGTTGTCCCATGGCGAGGCCTCTAATCTGCTTGTAATACTGTCCACACCATCGAAAGACTGAACACTGTAGACATTCCTTTAGGAGCAACATGATTCCTCTAATACTTAAGCCGTGAAAGTTCAGAGAAGCTTGATGTTCAAGAAGGAGCTCGAATGTTGCTTGCAGGGCATCGTCATTCGAAACATTGGTGTAGAGTGATGTTACGTCGAAAGACTCCACCACGCATCCTGGTTCCACGTGAGTGTTACGCAGACGCTCTAGAAACATTTTGGTATTAGAAAGATGCGAGGGGACGTACTTTAGCAGCTGCGACAAGATAGTGTTAAGAAACCAAGAGATCTTATCCGTTGGCCCACCGACATTGCTTACTATAGGTCTGACTTTGAAGTCCTTGGGATCCTTTGATGCGAAACCGGCAGCCGTTAATTTGTGAGTCTTGACTAAGGTGTACAATACCGGACAAATGGGCAAATCACTCTTGAGACGCGTTACTAAGCTTCTATGCAAGCCTTCAGATCGAGCTACTTCTACCCAAACCTTGTTTAAGTGGCGGCACTGCCTCCTGAACTCTTTGTCTGAAGACGACTCGTATACTGTATTGTCTGCCAGGTGATTCCTAGTGATGGCCATGTCCAGTTCACGTGATAAGACCACAAATTCACCCCCTTTGTCGCTGACGGATATCTTGATCTCTCCTGCAGCACAAAGATCACGGAGTTCACGCAGGCCACGGCGCTGGCAAACCGTTAAATTACTATTTGCGTGCAATTTGCTAAATTTGGCGAGAATGGAGAACAGAGACGTGGCAAAAACGCTAAATCTAGTATCTACTACCTGATTAGGTTCCTGAGGTTTGTAGATTAACGTTGGAAATGGAATATAAGGAAGATTTAGCCCACTAGCACCTTGATCGTTCGTTGCGCGTTCCTTATCATTGGCTCTGTGACGCAGCCTCTCGCGAACAAATTGGAGGTTTCCCACGATCTTACGCGAGATCCTAGGTCCTATCGATTGACTAGGAGAAAAACTTGGACCTAGATCCAATTGTGGATGAGTCGAAGCGCATCTGTGATGGTATTCGGTCTAAGGCCAAGTCTAGACTGCAGGAAAAGTTCAAAGGGTTGGTGAATCGAGAGCAAGATCGTATTTTGCAGGAGCCGACTAGTGCTAATAGCAACGTTAACACAAACCAGAACTGTCCTACTAACATATCTGACTATGCACCCAGTCATCCTCGTGTTTCGGTACTAGGCGATGCACTTATCTCCAAAGAGGCGCTTTCCTTATTGGATCTAGGTCCAAGTTTTTCTCCTAGTCAATCAGTACTCTGCGTTGATACCACTGCT